CACCATCAATGTGACCAGGGTCAACTGAGTCCAGATTAGGAATATTTACATAAGAATGTCTGTTGGTTTTGTATTAAAAATTCCCTACTTTCTTTCAAACAAGACAGATGGTTTGCCCAAGACCATCTCCAGGGCAGCGTCATGATGCCAATGTCCCAGGGAAGGAGAAAGAACTCAGCCCTCACACCACAGTCATTTTCTCACGGACTGAAGAAAAGTCTTACACCTCTTCGGACCCTCTGAAGTATCTCATTCTTCCTCTTCATGTCTAAAGAGAAACTAAACAGAATACACAAGACAAGAAACTTATCTTGAACTGGAAATTCTGATTCAAGGCATCATAAAGCCCTGCAGCCCAGGGATACAAGCCAGGAATGGACAGACCAGGGCACTTAGGGTCCATGAACACAGGGGCCACAGGGACCTCGAAGCCGCTGCTTCCGGGGCTCCAGGGCTCCCCCAGCAGCTGTGGTCCTAACTTGATCCCAGGCCCGGCAAGCACGTTCCTATGGGTCTCAGGCACAGAGGTCATTCTGTGAAGGTGAGGGGTTTGGTAAAGGGACAAGACAGCTTGTCTATAGATCATGGCTGAACCCCCCTGATCAGGATTAAACACAAAAGTGCACTTATTTTTATGATATTACTAGACTTAAAAATGTACCAAAAACTCTAAGAACGATAGAAATATGGTAAAAATAACAGGAAAAGTGGTGGGTTGCGGACAGCAAAATAAGGGAGGAAGAAAGGTATATAGAGGCAGCTGAGCCCGGTCAAGCAAGAACAGAGAGGACAAAATGGATCAAAGCAAAAAATAATGTCAAAGAACAGGGGAGAGATAACGTACTACACAGGGGTAAGCAATAAATACGGGCCCTGAAAGGTGAGGAGGGAAAAGCAGACTTGTCGGAGCAAGCCCCAGGACCAGAGGTAGGACTGTTGGTAACCACCCTCCTCACCCCCACCCCCGGGGCATCCCGACCCAAAGAGACTCCCCCCCAGGCCTTCCCGGCTTGTCTGAGTGAGTACAGGCATAGGAGATTTGAGAATCCTCACAGAGCAGAATCTTTGGCTGCTCTTTTTTCTCCAAAGCCACTCCAAGAGAGAATTTAAATGAGGTCTTGGAGAATAGAGTTGAGGGACTTAGCCATGGAGAGAACGGGAGGAAGGTGGTTCCCTCTAGGAACTGGAGAATGGGTGGACAGAGCTGAGGTCCACAATGAGGAATGACAGGAAATGCACCCAGAGGTAACAGACAAGGGAAATAAAAGCCTCAGGAGGGTGCCCAAGGACGCCTCACCTGGAGCCTTCTAGCACAGAAGCCACACAGACGCCAGCACGGCCTCACCTCTGAGGTGGCCCACCCCTCCGTGCCTCTGAGCCCAGTGAAGACAGTTTCACGGAGGGCCCTCCCTGGTGGCCCAGTGGTTTGGGGGGCGTTCTTGCAGGTTGGCCCTTTCGTTGCAGTTTGGTTCCTTGTTCCGGGGGTTGCCCCCCCTGGGGCGGCGGCCTCTGCTGGCCTGCCCGCTGCTCCCCTCAGCAGTGTACTTAGTCAGTCTGCCTGTTCTGCTCCCCACTCTGTCTCTGGTGAATCCTCTACTGCCCCTGCACCTCTGGCCTGTACCCCAGTTCTGTATGCATCAATAAATAGATCGTAAAAAAAAAAAAGTTTCACGGAACTACAACTGGAGCAAGGACTCTTCCCCCTTTGGAAATAGGAACAATTGGGGTGCATGAATCACTCGGGGAGCTAATGAATACCACCACTGTTCCCCATGGAGCAGACAAGGCGAAACAAAGGTCAAGGTAGCGATTCACCCCAAAACATTGCATAAAGCAAAGAGCATATTTGCAAGAAACACATTTAGAAAGAGCAGACGGATCATTACGGCAAGGGCAGAGGAGCCGAAACTTGGGGGCGGCAGAGGGAAACAGCCCTCGCCAAGGCACAGGAGAGCCACAGGCTGTGGAATGTTCCACCGGCCTCTCCTCTCTACGAAGCAGTGTGACTACTCAGAAGGCGATGGGAATGAAGAAAACTATAAAATAATGCAACATGGTGGCGCTGGAGTCACGATCTGGAATGTGCAGCCCAGTAGCACCAGGCAAGGGACAATGAATTTTTCAGACAGTACTTGTGTGAAGCTGGGGACAGCCACCACACTTGCCTTCTAAAGACACAGAAGTGTCCTCTGCTCTGCAGCAGAGAAATTTTAAAATACCGTTAGTCATCAGTGATGTAAGGAATGACAGCGAACGGGAGAGAAGAGAAGCTTCTTTCAAGTGAATGAATGAGGGTGAGTGAGTGAACGAGCCGTAGTTACACAGGGCCAGTCACCAACGCTCGGGTTCTAACCTGCTTTGCAAGGAAACATTCTCCCTGCCCCACTAGCAAGGGTTTGTTCACCTGCCAGAGGGATGCTACTGTCCTCTTCAAAATAAAGTTTGGCTCTTAGCAAAAATGCCTTCATGTCTGGGAGTTCCGTATGATAAAAACCAATTATGTTAAGAAGCTGTTTTCAAGGGGAAAAAAAATTAACAGAAACAGCATTAAACATGTCAATATAGTAAGTGCGAAGCTTCCACAGTGATCACAAGAGATAATCTTGTTTCTGATAAAAAGATGCTGATAGGCGACAGGCGTCCTGGCGTGTGGATGTGGCTAAGTCATCACCTCACCAGCCGCCATGAGCCCTCAGCCAGACTGGACACGGGAGCGTCTGCTGCCTTGAAGGAAGCAACACTGGAAGGTTGTATCTCCACTACAAAGCCCCAAGAACACTTAGAAAGCTCTAGTGAGGACAGTTATAAAGATGGCAGATCATAAATTTTCAAAATGGATCACAAAAGTTTTGAGAAAGAAAGCATGCTACTCCAAGTTGTGCTAATTGTCATAACCTCAGCAGTACCTTGAGAAAGAACTCCTATTTTAGTCTGAATACATCCAATGATTATTTTAATTACTTCTCAAGCAGTGACATATTTCAAGCAAAGATAAATAATTTTCATAAACTTTTTGTTAACAAAATGAGTTTGAATTGCATTAAAGTTCAAAAGCTTCTTCGTGGGCGCAACGGGTAAAAGCACAGCACTAATAAGCTATTGCAGCCACTGCAGCGTGAGTTCGATCCCCGCCCTGGAGGTGACCCACATGGCGCGGCAGACCTCTCCTGGCCCACCTGCTGCTCCCCTCAGCAGTGTACTCTGTCAATCTGCCTGTTCTGCTCCCCACTCTGACTCTGGTGAATCCTCTCACACCCCCTGCACCTCTGGCCTGTACCCCAGTTCTATATGCATAAATAAATATATCTTTATAATAAAAAAAGAGATTCCTTGTACCTCAAAAGAAAAGTTTCACATTAACGCTAGAGAAATTAATACTTTCTCTAATAGAATTTCACATTAATAACAGAGAAAATCCTTTTCTATTAATGTCCAGCCCTATCCCCCCAATAAAAATGTAGTGTGAAGTGTCAGCTAATCTTTCAAATGGCTTTCTTCTGACAACATTAAGAACAGTTTTAAAGAGTGGTGATAACTCAGACATTTTTGTGAAATGTTAGCTCCATGTCATAGAAAGGCAGGTTAATCTAGAAAAAACATTTAAAAGACCCATATAAAGTAAAAATGAAACTATTTGTCAAAATAAACAAGCCATTTCCTTTTAGAAATTGCTAAGACAGGCCCCGGAGCAAATCACAATTGCTTGGAACAGAATATGGAATAAAATTGAGATTTGACTCTTGACAATATTACCTCACACAAATGCTGCCATAATCTATCATCCACCTTAACAGTCTGCCCAGCCAGCCGGAAGGTCAAGACCCGCCCCCCCCCCCAACCTTCTCCAACAAGAACATTTCCCAAGCTCATGTTCCCAGCAACATCCCTATTCCACAGTCCCTCCTCCGATATAAGATTTCCAAGGACTGGGAAAAGGCCCAGCAACTATAAAGTGCAGTATAAAATATACTAAGCTTTCATTTTATAGTTGTGTGTATATATGTGTGTGTGTGTGTATACACACACACACACATACACAATTTCTATGTTTTATATTTTCTATATATCTTCGCAACATACTTAGCATACCTTGAAGAAAGCAGAGAGAGTGCACCAGAATCACCCCATGCAGTCTACGCCTTCACTGCCACTATCTTCTCTGACCTTCCCAGCCCCCCTGAGTCACACGTCACAGGACTGAGCAGGAGATGGTATTAAAGGCAGGACGCAGGCGGCTCTGGGTGTGCCGGGCGGGGTGGGGGTGGGGGGG